CACACACACACACACACACACACACACACACACACACACACACACACATTTAATTAGCAAACAATATGTTCTCGATTCTTCACTGGGCAGACAGCACACTGGTTAAAGCGGTTATACTCATTTAAATCCAAGTTCATCCAGTGCCGAATGATGAACCTGGGGCAGGTTATCTGATCTCTCGGGTACATAGGGATATCTGTAAGTTGGAGCTGCTACCTCTGCTCTTGTGATGGAACAACTGTGGATAAAGACTCAGAGACAGTGCCTGGGACCTCCTGCTGGTCAGTGGTCGCTACTGTGCTGCAAGTTAATACATAAATGCAATTATATATCTACACAAAACAACGACATATTTTACCATAATGAAAAGATACATGCCACATAGCTATGTATACTATATAAAGGAATTCAAAACCAAACAACAACGAATGAACACGGGTTATTTCAGGGCTCATGCATTTAATAACCAAAGCTGCCGTATTCTCAGCATTGCATTGCTAAACCAACTGAGGTAAAACAATGTTCATCGGGGCCTCATCCATGCAGAGTCAGGAGCACCTGGAGGATGGTGTCTGGTACCAGATAGAAAGAGTAGATTTTTCAGGCCTTCCTTTTGCATTTTAAGTCTTCTAATTACATTCTCTGCCCCGCCACCATCTTTCCCAGCGCATGCGTGGCACAGCATGTGTGGAAGGCAGAGGACGACTTTCAGCATCATTTCTCTCCTTCCACCCTGCGGATCCTGGGGTTGGGACTCAGTCACATAGTCAGCTTGGTGCCAAAAGCCTTTACCCACTGAGCTAACTTGCCAGCCTCGGCCCTTCTTTCTTAACTTCCAATTTCAGGATTTGCAGGAAATCTGCATGTAATTCATACCACTTGAAGGTTCTGCAGCCACAACGAGACTTTGTGGAGAAGTCAGGAAATGACTTTCCTTTTGTTTCTATGTTTTTGAGACAACTAACCATGAACTCCCTATGTAGCTGAGGACGACCTTGAACTCAATCCTCCAGCCTCTGACTCTCTGGTGCTGGGATTGTAAGTGCAAGCCACGATGCCCAGCCGAGAGATGTGCTTTCTGACTGTAAACAGTATTGTTTCTGATGCTGGGGTACACTTGTGGGTGTAAATTTAAATGCCCAAGGGTTCGTCTATGAGGGTTTGCTGCCTCAAGAGCAAGATGGGCCATGTAAATGGTGCCCACTCATATAACAGAATAATACAACTTAGGGCACAGGACTAGAGAATAATATTAATGACCTAGAAGAATATTTATGAGATGTTATTATTTATAAAACATGTCACAATGTCCTATGGCGTTTATCTTAATACTAACAACGGTCACCTTGGATAGGGATGTTATGGAAGAGCATTGCCTTTGTTTAATTTTATCTTTATTTTGTATGTTTTCTGTAATAAGTATGTATGAATTTTTAAGGAAAAAACAACATGCTAAAAATTATAGGTCTGGCTGCCCACAAGCAGGGCGAGTCAGGTCCTGAGCTCCCATTGCCCACCAGCCTTGTGTCCTCATGAGCAAGCACTCAGCAGGCCATGGGTTCCATCCGAGGTGCCTGAATTGAGCAAGATGTGACCCAGGGTTGCCCAGCCATGGCAGCCTGCCTGGTCAGTTTTGAGATGGAATCGGCTCCCCTCTTGTTCATCATATTTTCCTGAGCTTCGGGTGCGTGTTGACACCTGAAGGAAACTTGAAAGAAGAAGGGAGAAGGTTGAGAGGAGCAGAGCAATATCTCACGCCACCACCAGAAGGACACAGCAACTTTGTCATTACCCAAATAGCATGTAGCATCAGCCAGATCAGATTCAGAGCCCACTTCCACCTGCTGGTCTCCTTCCATTCCAGGGAGGATTCTGTCTCCACCTCCCAACCTGTCTGCACACTTAGCCTCTATTCTGGCTCCCCTTGCACAGTGTCTACCACATGGGGCTGGTTTTAGCCCTTTCCCGATAGCCTGATACAGACCTTGCTCATCTTAGTAGATGAACCCACTTTCCACCCCCCCCCCCCCGTACAATCATTTCTCCATTTCCCAATTCCCCATCAGAGCTAAAGTTCTCTGGGCACTTTTCCTTCCTTGCCTCCCTTGTTCCAGTATCCTCTGCTTAACAACTTCTTTTTCTCGCCCCCATCTTGTGTTCCCCCTGGTTATTCTGAATGAATGTCCAATGAGGTTGGCGAGCCTGCCTTCCTCTGCCCCTGCTCTGTTTCATTGTCGAATATATCCAATGGTCAGAATCAAAGTGAATAAGAAGAGCTATTTTACCATTAAAAAAAATTAGCAAACTACAGGTTTCTAGATGCAGGCAGTGTTGCCTCAGATGGTTCTCTTCTGTTACTAACTGGGATGTAGTCCTGTCTAGCTACCTGGGTGATGCAATGGCTTTTACCTTTGTGCACAGGTAACTGCTCTTGACAATGGTTCTTGCAGTATGAATCTCATCACATTACTGTCACCCGGTACCTATCCAGTTACAAGCACCTTGCACAGGGCCCGACACATCAATGTACTTGAAACACAAGAATGAATGGGTTGGAGTGGCTTATGAGCGGCTGTGCCATGTATACAATTAGGCAAATCCTGGATCTGCATGGTAACATAGTCACTGAGATTTATGAGATCTCTGATGATGTATACCAAATGGCAGTGGTTCATGTATGAGATGGGTGGCTATGCAGAGGGAGACTATATTCTAGTTCAACCTGCTAACAGGTCTACCTCTTCCTATCCCTTATTTCTCCTTGGCTCCCTAAGGCGTACTGGTTACCATAGCAGCCAGGTGCTGATGATGCCTCCAGGGGGCGGCCAGGTGAAATTGAGCCCGCTCTCAAATAATTACCTCTCCATGTTCTTGCAGGCCAAGATGATAAGGTCTGAAGTCTAGCCTTTTGCCAGGCCCCCAATCTGCCTTGGATCCCTGAGACTCAGAACCCTTGCTTCTGCAGACTGCCATCAGGGCTCTGAAATACCCTCCCAGAGACTCTTTCCTCCCCAGGTTGTGTCCCCTGGCACCCTGCCTAGTTGCCTTGGAAACAGGTTCCACTGCGGACAAAGGAGGGAGTCGGGTCTTGCTTCCTCCCGGTCCTGCCAATGAGGATTTTTAGACCGTGGAGACTACGCTGCCCTGCCCTGCACTTGCCCTCATTCCCCACATTCTCTCTAAAGTGGAGCTTGCCTTCGCTCGCCCCCGACGAGGACATGTGTAAGAGTGTGACCACAGGTGAGTGGAAGAAGGTCTTCTATGAGAAGATGGAGGAGGCGAAGCCAGCTGATAGCTGGGACTTCATCATAGACCCCAACCTCAAGCACAATGTGTTGGCCCCTGGCTGGAAGCAGTACCTGGAACTTCATGCCTCAGGCAGGTGAGTGGCCCAGCAAGTAGGGGTCTGTAGACAGCATCTGGCCTGGGGTACCTTCAGTGGACCGAGAAGGATGCACGGAACCCAAGTGCCTGCTCCAGTCTCACTGTGACGTTACTGTAGACTAGCAGGCAGGTTATCCCTAAAAGGGATACCCGGTTTGGGCTCAACTCTTCACCTGTTCACCAGGAGATCTGTTCTTACAGTTTCTCCACTTAGCAAATAAAGAGTTAGAAAAACGTATATTATGTAATATGTTATCTAGAGAGAATATGCAACAATAAAAGTATTCGTTTCTGACTCTGACAGTTCACACACTTTTAGACTTTAATGTTGTCTTTTAAAGTATCTGTAAGCTGAGGAAAGGAAGGCTTGGGTCCACTGGGAGTCAAGGGATCTGTGCTCTTGTATTGGGGAAACTCAGTTTGAACCCAGTTAATTCAGCTCGATTTGGTTTGAAATGTCGAACACACGGAGCACACTAAAAACCGACTGTGCCGGTGGCTCTGTGTCTCTTGAGAAATCCACTTTCCTCTTTGGACCATGCTTTCCCCAATGCTGAAGGAAGGGCTGGCCGAGGTCTTCACTTTGAGCTCCAGGGATGATGATGATACTGTGGATCATCTAGAATTTTCTAGAGCTGCAGAATATTGGGCCCCTTCCAGACTCGGATCAGTACCTGGACTTTAAGAAGGCTCCCGGGTGATTCTAGAGTTCCAGTCTTGGGTTCAGTTCATGGGTCTACATTTAGACTTACTTCTGGGACTTGAATGAGAGCAGCCGAGTGGTGCAGGTATCTGAGTCAGAAGCAAAGGCCTTCTCACTTAGGTTGGCCCAGTCAGCTCAGTTCTGTTCTGTTCATTCCAGTCAGCATTGCAGGGTACTGATCTGGCTTCTCTCTAGCTGTGTGTACATGGATGGTTCTTTTACTGCGTCCTGAAACCAAATGAATGATAGGTTACTTTCTGTGATCCCTTCAATTCTGACTTTTTTTTTTTTAAAAAAAATCAATTGTAGTCTGAGTGAGAGAAATAGTTGCTAAAGATATGAATAAGCAAAAAGACTAAAGTGAAAATGTGGGCACCCCTCTATCAGACGTTAGTAGGGTGCTACTTCCTGGAGGTTCTTGTGGGGCAGAGTGGAGGACTTTGTGGCTAACTCAGAGCTTGTAGCTGAACTGTGGTTTCCGGCTGACTGGGGTCAGCGTGGGAAACTCTGGCCTTTGTGTGGGGGGATCATCTTCACTCACGGCGTCTCCACTTCCAGGACTTGGGAATGCATTATCTCTGGCCTGCACTAATAGTTGATGGTGTTAATAGTTCATGGTCTGCTGATTTAGGCCCAGTCTGTTCGGTCAGTGTTGACAGATAGACTTGTCTATCTCCTAGCCGGAAAGATTCAGCTTTGCTGGCAGACTTCCACTGACAGTGTGGACAGAGACTCAATATACCTAGAACATTTTATAGATAAAGAATGAGTTCCTTCGAACTGGGAGAAGGGGCAAGGCCTGAGGAAACACGGCTGAAGGGAGACAAGGTCTCTGGATGGTAACCAGGGAGCAGACCACTGCTAGATTTCCCGTGCCAAGTCTGGGAAACTGCTTTTGTCCCTTAGACACTCACATAGAACAAGAAGGGTGGCCTCCTGGGGAAGCTAATGAACCCTGGGGACTGTCAGCACACGGCCCCGCCTCTGACAGCTTCCACATCCCCTTACCCCTTCCTGGCCTGTTTTCATCCCTCCACATGATCCTCTCTTTCTCTTTCCCTCACTGGCAGGTTCCACTGCTCCTGGTGCTGGCACACCTGGCAGTCGCCCCATGTAGTCATCCTCTTCCACATGTACCTGGACCGTGCCCAGCGGGCTGGTTCTGTGCGCATGCGCGTGTTCAAGCAGCTGTGCTACGAGTGCGGCACAGCACGGCTGGACGAGTCCAGCATGCTGGAGGAGAACATCGAAAGCCTGGTGGACAACCTCATCACCAGCCTACGCGAGCAGTGCTACGGGGAGCGCGGGGGCCACTATCGCATCCACGTGGCCAGCCGCCAGGACAACCGGCGACACCGTGGCGAGTTCTGCGAGGCCTGCCAGGAAGGCATCGTGCACTGGAAGCCCAGCGAGAAGCTGCTGGAGGAGGAGGCGAACACCTACACCTTCTCCCGTGCGCCCAGCCCCACCAAGCCACAGGCCGAAGCCGGCTCAGGCTGCAACTTCTGCTCCATCCCCTGGTGCTTATTTTGGGCTACCGTCCTGCTGCTCATAATCTACCTGCAATTCTCCTTCCGTAGTTCTTTCTAAGATTCCCGCGTGGGTTTGAGGCTGGGGAGGGGGGGGCCTGGGAGCCAGCTGTTGGGAAGGGGTGAGGTGAGACCTGGCTTGGGAAAATGGGGCACGTTCTAAGGCAGTCATTGATTCAGTGGGAACCACGGACAACCTACCCAATTTTTCCATCTGTAAAATTAAGGCGGTTGGTTTTTCAAGAAAACTAAGGTTCCAAAGTCCTTCTTAGGTACCCCAGGGACGTTTGATTTGGGAGGTAGAGTGAATGAGCTGCTTTCTCCTCATCCAACAGCTCCTTCCAACTTTCAACTTCTGTCTTCTCCCTTGCTGCAATCAGAAGTACTTCCATGTAAGGATGAATATATATGTGTAATAAAACATATATACACATATATATACACACATACATATATATGTGTATATATGTGTGTATATGCATATATATATATGCTTAGTTGCTTAAAAAGAAAAACCAGCTTGGAAATTACAGGACTAGGCCATCTCAAAAGGTCTTAAAGCAATGAACTGGACTTCACTCTCTTGTTAGCCTCTTGCTGTGTCCTCATCATTCCCATAGCATCTAGTTACAACTTAAAGGAACCTCTTTGCCTTTAAGATGAGCCTGATCCACAGCTCTGCCTCAGGCTTGCACAGTAGTTTCCCCTGAAGCAGAGAGGTGGGGCGCTGGGCTGTGGGCTCCACTGTACTTTGTTTATCTTCCCCGTCTTGAAGCTGCTAGCACCTTGTCCTTCAGGTGGTCCCATGATCTGCCTGCCTGACAGAGGACTGGCTGCTGGGGTATGGTCATAGTGAACTGGGCCGGAACTGAGAGAGCTGTGGAAGAATGCTGCATATAGTGACTTTCCATTATGTGGAGGGTTTTCAGGGTTCGGATCCTTGGCTGTGCTGATGACCAGAATAGGGAACAGCCTGGTTGCCCGTGATTTTGCTCAAACAATCTGAAACAATCATTGACTGGCTTTTCCACATTTGCTTTTTTTTTTTCCCAAAGAGGTTCTCCTGCTGGACCACAGGGATAGGGCACCTCAGCAAGAAAGAGTAAATTAAAGATACAAAAAATAAACCCTTGTTGGTAGAGAGTACCCAGAATCTCACATCTCCTCAAAATGGGGTGCAACATGTTTACAGTCACAGGATCAGACGCCCTCTGGTAATAGAGTGTAGAGTAAGGCTGGTGGGGGAGAGGCGAAAAGCTGGAAGTGGGGTGCTACCCACCCTGAGCCTTGGAGGTCCTTGTTCACCCTCTCTTTTAGTAACCAACTTCCTGTCCTACCATTTCTCTATTATAGAAAGTCACAACGCCTGTAGTTGGGGAGACAGAAGGGTCACTTACATAAAGACCTTTGGGGCATCATTAGTGCACCTTTGAGATTCCCCTCATGGTCCTTTATCTCCATTGGGCCATTAGTATCCCCGTTGGTATCTTGTCTTCTCTCTTACTGAGACTATCCAGTTACTACTCTGGGTCAATCATGTCTATAGTCAGGAGTGATGTGGAAGATCAGTCCAAGGTTAAGTCCTCGCTCCAATGGTGGAAACCAGCTGTGATGTCTTCCTCCACAGTATTAATTTCTTTAGTGAAATATCCTGGGCACCTCCCCTCTAGCAAGTTCTCATTTGGCTTCTGGGTACAGCAGTAGGCAGCTTGGGTCAGGCTCAGTCTATCAGAGACCTCTGGTCACTTCAGGGATTCTCAAGCCTGGCTGTGTGTTAGGAACCCTGGGGAGCTTTAACAGCAGTACATTGAAATACCTGAGTTAGGACAGCTCTCGGCGCCCTGCTGCTGAGGTCTGGTATCATGCCTCTAAGTGAGTGGCAGCTTCATTTGTGTCCAGTTTATAAACTATGCCTGGTGGCCTCCTCTCATGAGCCTTCCTGGCTTCTCCATAACTTGGGCTCCACGTCCCTCCTCAGCTGCCTCGTTATTTTTCTCTGTGTCCTTGAACGCCATCCTCCCTCATCATTTAAACCTGACAATCTGTTGCTATAGTGACATTGTCCTCCCCTTGGTCTCCATTACTGAGTCTTTCTTTCTCACTGGAACCCCAATCAGACCGGTGGTGATCTCTCATTCTCAGATGTACTCCCCATTAGACTTCAGGTTCCAAATGGCACAGACTGAAGGCATTGTGTTTTCCTCTGTTAGCACATAACAAGAGCTCAGTAAAACTGTGCTGAATGACGACATAAACCGATGAGCAGGGCCATCTACAGCCATACTTTGCTTCTGCAGTGTATGACAGTGTGTGCGGTCCTCTTTTGTACCACCACTTGTTTTCCTAGATCTTGTACTCATATGCCCCAAATAAAATATTTCAACCAAAGCATTTGGAGGATAGAGTTTGTTTGTTTCAGATGGTAGCCTGGGATTAGACAAGTGATGATAAACTCTCCCAGCGCTGGAAGCTGTAAGTTCTGCTTTAATTCTGGACTATTTCCCCCCCTGGATTTGAAGCTGCTCATTTTCTCTCTGGCTCAGGTGCCGTGTCTTGGGGTTAAAAACAATTTTGAGGTTTTTTTCCCCGCTCCCATCCTGGACTCAGTTGCATGCATCTGCTTCCTCGCATGTCCCAGTGCCAGGTTACCCAGCCTGTTTCTCAGATGGCAGGGAGGTCATCATTGGTCAAGGCAGCTCATGCCCTCTTTGGCTAGCTCTGTCCTGTAGAGAAGTCTTTTTCTTTTGGGACCTCCACTGAAAGGATTTGTGTGTTTGCCGTTACTAGTTCTCAAGTGGAATGGGCATGGAGAGGCTCCTTTCTGCTCTCTTTAACCTGGGTCTCTTTTCAACACTCCAGCAAGAGGATCCTCTTAACCAGAGTCAGGCCCTGCCATTCCTCCGCACCTTCCCCGTCCTGTAAAAGCCTGATATCACTCTATTCATCCTATTACAGCGTTTAGCACCCGCTCCCTTCTGCAGCTACCCTGGTGTATGTGCTGTTTCACACACATGTATGACATGCTCTCCCCTAGGGCCCATCTGCCCTGTTCCCTTTGCCAGGAATGGTCTCTAGAAAGGCTCTGGCTCACTCTCTGGCCTCCCTCCAGGCCTTTAGAGCTTCATACTCAGTCAGGCCTCCTTTGACATGCTATTTTATGCCATAACCAGCATGCCCATCCCACACTCTATTCCTGATCTCCTGTGTCTGTACTTCTGTCTGGATCCCTAGAACTCCAGGTCTAAGATAAGGGCTTATGTGTTAATGTTTGATCAAGGACCATGACCCAAGGAAACAGGACTCAGGAAGGGTGGAGCTAAGCAAGTGTTTTAGTTTGCCTTCTGTAACCACCACGTGATAAACACCATGGCCAAAAACATCTTGGAGAGGAAAGGGTTCTCCTACAGTTCCACAGGATCACCAAGGGAAGTCAGGCTAGGAATTCAAGCAGGACAGAAACTTGGATGCCAGAGCTGAAGCCACGCCTGTAGAGGGGGTGTGGCTTATTGGTTTTCCTTGGCTTGCTCAGCCTACTGTCTTACAGAACCCAGGACCACATGCCAAGGGGTGACACTGCTCTCAGTGGCCTACGCTCTCCCACATGATTGCTAATCAAGAGAATGCCTCGGAGTCTTGTTTGCAGGAAATCTGATAGAGGAGTTGTCTCAAGTGAGGTTTCTTTTCCCAGGTAACTCTAGCTTGTGCCAACTTGACAATAAACAAACAAAACCAAAAATAAAAAACAACAACAAAACAAACTAAGCAGTACAGGAGGCTAGGGGAAAAAGGCAACAGAAGGCGCTGTTATTAAATCAGCAGCCTAAACTGATATTTCTTTGCTCAGTCTCCGTATCCATTGCTTCCTGTAACTGTGACCAAAATACCCAAGAATACAAAGTCAGCGAGGAAAGATTGGTTTGGGCTCGTAGCTTTGAGGGCTCTCACTCTATGGTGCTTCACTCCACATGCTCAGACAGAACAGCATGGTGGCAGGAACCTGTGGCAGCAGAAGGGACGTCCTCACAGTAGATAAAGACAGAATGTGGAAAGGAGGGGCTGTGGACAACAGACCTGCCACGAGCCTACTCCCAGTGACCTACTCATTCCAGGTAGGCCCTACTCCTGGAAGCTTCTAGAACTTTCCTGAATGGTTTCATCAGGAAGAGAGCAGGTGTTTCCCATGTCCTGTGGAGAACAGTTCTTATTCAAATCATAGTATTCCACCCCGAGACCCCAAAGGATCATATCATCTCACAAAAAAAATTTGTGTTTTTGTCTAACATTGAGAATGTGAATGTCTTGGGGTTTTTATTGCCATGAAAAGACATCATGACCTTGGCAACTCTTATTAAAAAAATGTAATCGAGGGGGCTTGTTTACCGTTTCAGAGGCTCAGTCCATTATCATCATGGCAGGGAGCATAGTGGCACGCAGGCAGACACGGTGCTGGGGGTATAGCTGAGAGTCCTACCTCTGGCAGGCAGCAGGAAATTGACTGAGCCAACCGGGAAGCATCCTGAGCAGAGGAGACCTCAAAGTCTGCCCCACAGTGATGCACTTCCTCTAACAAGGCCACACCAACCCCAACAAAGCTGCACCTCTTACTAGTGCCGCTTCCTATGAGATTATGGGGCCATTTATATGCAAACTACCACACTAGACCATGGCTTTTTAGCCCCAAATATAACGTGAATGACCTCTAGTTAAATTTTCAACAGGGTCCTCCTTCAATATGAAACCCTATGTGGCCCTTAGTGTCCACCTCCCAGTGACTCTGGTCACCTGGGTGCTGACCGGAATCACCTAGCAAGTTTGCTCAGCAGAATTTGAAACCCTTTCTGATTTGCTTCTTTAAACTCTTCAAACAAGAATTCCAAAGGCTTAATCCCACACTACAGGGTCAGGTGTGGTCATGTGACCTCAGTCCTGTACCTGCTTCTCTGTTAGTTACTTTCTTAACACCCTGATTAGACTGTCTCAGAGAAAACCCTAAGGGAGAAACTATCTGTTTTTCCTTATAGTTTCAGAGGATTGGATCCCTGGTCACTTGGCCCCATACAATTGA